TAGACATTTTTCAGCGATGGAGAAGGAGAATAAAATAGTTAACTAGGGTTTGCCTTTAGGGGTGATGTTGTGTCTTGAGGGAAATCAGATTGGTTCTCAAAACAGTACTGGACATATTTTCACAGCGGTGAATAGCGTTTTTTCCCGCGCAGCTGGAGAACTGTGGCCGCATAGCGGTTAAGTGTGTAAAGTTTTTTTCATCGGAATTATCCTGGACAGACGCGTAGTTGTACTGAAGACATTAGGGGTTGACAAACCGGAATACTGAATTTGTGCTAATTCTTGCGAGCTACCTTAGCAAATTAGCTGCCTAGGTAACCGGGCATCATATGGGTATGAAGAACTTGCCGGGGCTGACTACGAACAAATGCAAATGTGAACTGGTTGGTCAACACGTGAGTCAAGCAGGATCAAATATTTGCGATTTTTCCTCTATTATCTTGGGAATTCCACTGCAAACGGCTGAACTAACCACTGATTTACTGATTTAGGATTTGCAAAAATTGCCCGCATTAAACGATACATTACTTGATATCGCATTGAATAGGACCAATCATAAAAATGCCTGTTGGTTAAAAAGTGTATTGCATACAAACCTGTGGTAATTCCACTACCGAGAATAAATGTTACTTCCTAGGATTTCCTGTGGAAATATTTCCATTGACGCTTCCAAATAGCATCTGCGGATTCACTAATACAGATTTCCTGCTTATCACACACTAGACTTCACTGAATTCTGGGACTGACGCCTGCAACTTGGACTAAAGTACCACACAGCGATCTACTGGCTGACGGCAATTTCGAAAGGGCTCCGTATTATTTCCTGAAGACTTTGTCAGTGATTCAGCGTCACCCGTAAAGCCGCCCTGGGCGCAACCCATGAGACATTCAACTACGTGTGCATGTCAAGTAAAGTTACTGGGTTGTTTTCTTCTTACGAAAGTTTATCCCTTTGATGTTCCCCTTTACGGACAACTGAATTGCATCCCAGCCACTTGTAGGTGGGCAAACTCAAATTAAGGAAAAAGGGGATAGTTTCTGGTTGCAGTGATGAGTATCTTTAAGGTAGCTTGTTCGGTTAGCAGCGAAAGCATGGATATCCTAAACTTTTTCAACCTTACGCCCTGAAGAACCTGTAAGTGATTTTGTTCTCGTTTTGGTTTTCGTCATGGGACATGCGTTGAATGCGTATTAACCTGGCCGTCCAAAGGGTGCTATTTCAGCTGTTTTCTACCGACGTTGCGCAGCGGCGTACATGTAGGTTCTCAGAGTACATAATATATCGTTTGTAATCACGGAGCACAACACTCAAATAATTACAGTTGTTGACTTAGATTTTAGCAAACATTGGAATGTCTCGGATATTTTAGTTGTTTAAGTCAAAAGCTGAATATGTTGAACAGGTGAATTCTCGAGTACGTCGGGTATTTCCTACTCCAGTTGGAAAAAAATGTCGAGAGACGTAATATCCAAAGCAGGGTGGAAATGTTGAAAACACGCAGACTATTGTAATAGGAAGAAGTTCACAAAATTAATTTCGCATAATTAAGTATTGCGGATACTCTCAACACTTGGAATCTAAATAGAGATGGATCGGCTGAGATTGCCACAACGCATGGATGAACAGTATTGCCACCGCAACGGCTAGCTTCGCGAAATAGCATATTCCAGAATGTCGCTCTTCATTTTGCATGAAAACGGTCGGGATAAAAAAGCAAAGGGGCTTCTCTGAACAACGTCGAAGAAACTGAGCAATGCTGGTTTTCTTACATTTTTATTCTTCATAGATAGCAGGAAAACAGTAAAGGAGCCTAAACTGCAAGGAAATTAGGAATCAGTAGGCGGCCTTACAGGCATTTAAGGTTGGTAGATGTGTTTTCAAAATAACGCAGAGTATCTCAAATTCAATCACTGTAATTTATGTTTTTAATCAACCATTTGCAATGAAGTTGCTGATCTCGGATGTAACCTGCATTGCTGACGTATTCACCAGTACATTTATGTATATCATGGTATCGCTGGTTTTGTGACGGCAAACCCTGATTGGCATATCCCTTCATGATAGTTCTGCTGACAAGCCCACTGCATCTCATTATCACCCCGGTTTCTTTCCGGTAACGTTGTTTACATATGCCTCATCTGCCGCTTATGCAACGTTGGAATCAAGGTTCCGAACTCCAACCAGTGAAAAACAGTTTGCGTCTAATCATTTGCGCTCATTTAGTTCTCCACATATCACGCACTATATTCTAATATTTCTCCCGGTTTGTTATCGCTGCATTTAGCTGTGCAGGACCGCAATATTCTCAATGTGTTCTTTCTGGCGTAATGATTAGGCTAAATCCGCCCTAAAGCTATGTTCGGTATATAAAAGCTTGCGCCATACATATGCATTTCTCCCTTTTTCCTGAGGGTCCAAACATAAAAAAACATTAGTTTTCACTACGACTGCATTGTGTTTCTCTCCTCATAACTCTGCATGATAGGCATGCAGGTGAAACCTGAATGACAAATTCCCATTTGATTTTGATAAACATTCACAAAATGAATTTCTTTGGCTCGGCTGGGAAAGAAAGATGGGCATGGACCATACGGTTGTCACGGTTGCTGGTTTAATTTATGAGGCAAATAGGGCGAGCTTAGATGCGCGGGCGCAAATTGTACGCTAAACATGTGGTAGCCTATGAGCTATCGCAAGCGAACAAAATTTCCCTTCCATTAACTCACACCGCAATGATATCCATCTCCTCGAAAATTCCAGTGTCGAAAGTTGTGTATCTACCACAACGGACAAACTTCCGACTCATCGTTTTGCAAACAAAGTAGCACAATTGAGGCCAAAAGTCGTCTAGTTCTTTTGCAAGTTGCACGCGCGACCGCCGACAGCTCCACCCAGCGGATAAAAACGTTTGCCTGGATAAAATCATCACATGTTACAGATATATTCTCCTTTGGTTCAAGTTAAATAAAATGTTTCTTTGGTAGAATTCCGTAATAAGCGATTCATCAATATGTTATTTAATGATTCAGTAGAATTCTTATTCTGGAAATTGTTGATTGGTCATGGAGCTGTTGGGAATAGGAAAATACCAGCAGAGCAGTTTGGTGCTCCAGTTTACGATATTTTCGCAATATCACGAAATATCTTTTGAACAGAGCACACTACGTATGACGTCGAGAAAACGTTTCGGCAACTCGTACCACATTTTTCGGTTGACAAACACCAAACTCATTTGATGGAAGTCACTAATATATTCACCTTTAACGTTACCTCCTTAACCGCTACACGCTCGCTTTATTGTTACCACCATTCTAACTTTCCCTGAGTCTCGCCGTGTCTATAGGTGGAAGAAGGAAGTTCAATGCGGAATTATTTATTAGAATGCCAAGTAAAGAGTTACACAATATTGGAAAGGGGTGCAAAATTCTCATACGCATTTTGTTTACAAAAACTGTAAAACCGTCTTCTCCTTGAGCGCGTCCCCTTGAACATTCTTGGATATCCTTTGCATTTTGCTCAAATGCAAGCAAATCCGACTCTGAATATTCTGTAATAGGTCCCACTTTTTTAAGAGACGCAAGGCGGATGTACGAGAGAACATTCTACCCGCTTGCTCCCATCAGAAGCGTCCTTGTATTATCCAACTCCCCTTTCTAAAGTTCGTTCACATGCCGCCGTCCCATTTAGCTCAGTCAGCTTAATTCCAGAAGCAGGACTTATCGGTCGCGCTCCGGGTGTATCATGCCACTTACGAAGCCGTGTCCCATTTACGCTTTTCGATCCACGGCCGTCTTGAATTGCATATACACTCCCCCGGTGGCCGATAACGACAAACTGATCATGCCATCGACTGCCTAGCCTGCGCGACCCCAGTCCACTCCTTCCTGGATTCTGATGATCCTTCCAAATGACCTTCGTGCCTGTGTGGGGGTGGTCACGCCTTTCTACTTGCCGTTTACTGTCAAGTCATTTACTGAACGGCGGACAAGTTATCTCGAGTGCCTCCTCTTTCTTCCTCTACCTCCCCGGAGACAAGCGTGTTGCTGGCCACCACCCGATTTTCTGATTAAACGGAAGGCTCGGATGTCGACCGTACATCAGCCTAAACGGAGGCTTGCCTATGGTTGGCTGCATGGAAGCACGATTAGCTAGGAACGCCGTTGGCAAGCTCGCTTCCCAGTCACCTCCTTAGGCCGCCACCCACTCCT